TATCGTTGATAAATTAAGTTCTACTTCATAAAATGAGACCATGTGTGACCCGTTTCTCCATATCCTTCTTAAAATGGACCACGGGCCATTTTTGTACAAATGTAGAGAAAAGTGATTTGAAGGTCTTAAGGAACCGCAGGATCCATGTGTTTTCCTGAAATTCTACAGTAGTCGCTACATGGGAAAGGGGACGCGATCGAAAATTGGCAGGTTTTGATGAGGAAGGGACTTGTAGACAAATCCCAGAATTGAGGAATCCAGGGAGGACACTGGAGGTTGGTCCAGAGTAGCAAGAAGCAGTCTGAGAACAGCAAGTGTCTGAAGAAGGGGAGAAGGGTCTGGAGAAAGGGAGGCCCAGAAACAGCCCCAGGGAAGTTTTGCTCTGGACAGTTTTGGTGGAGTGCACCCTGCACATGCCTACAGCAGGGGATAAAGATATGGGAAAGGTGTTTTTTAAATGTATACAAGGGTTTATTTTAAGACCTTGATAATAAGTGTTTTTCAAAAGTTCCTAGCTGAGTGGAGTACATCTCCATTTAATGAGGATCTGGACGACAGGCACCTCAGATAGTAAACACATTTTAGTTTTGTATACCAAAACCAAACCTGCTGCCATCGAGTTAATTCCGACTCATAGCCACCCTATAGGACAGAGTAGAATTGCCCCATAGGGGTTCTAAGGAGTGGCTGGTGGACTTGAACTGCTGACCCTTTGGTTAGCAGCCAAGCTCTTAACCACTGCACCACCAGGGTACCTTAGTTGTATATCGAGATGGGACATTAGTGGTAAAGATGCTTGAAATATTATCAGATCTTGAAATGCTTTGAAGATTAAAAAAGAAAGAGTAAATTATGATCACATATTCAAAGATTTCATTGTATCTCAAGAGTTGAAAATTGGCATTCTCTGTCTCTCATTTCTTCCTCTTCAACAAATATTTATGACCCTGCTTTACTATGTGTTGTGCTAGGCACCCAGGAAGCAGTTACGAACAAGAAAGACATAGTCCCTGTTTCATGAAGCTTAGAGTTGATGAGGAAACCCTGGTGGCATAGTAGTTAAGAGCCACAGCTGCTAACCAGAAGGTTGGCAGTTCGAATCCACCAGGCACTCCTTGGAAACCCTATGGGGCAGTTCTGCTCTGACCTATAGGGTCACTATGAGTTGGAATCAACTCGATGGCAATGAGTTTGGGTTTTTTTTTTTTAGAGTTGATGAGGGCCAATAAACATACTAATACAGACAAAATGAATTCTGAGCTAGAGAATAATGGGGTGATCAGGTAAGCGTGCTTACCGATAGTAATATTTAAATTGGAAGATAAAGGATGAATAGGACTCAGCTTGTTCAAGAGTAAGGAAATAGCATGCACAAAAGCCTTGAGATTGGGAATTTGAAGAACAGAACATCAGTGAAGAGAATGGTACCACATGAGGCTGGAGAGGTGGGCAGGGGCCAAATTATTCAAAACCTGTAGGCCATAGAAACTGCCACCCATCTGTCAGTTTGTTGTACTGTGGTGGATTGTATGTTGCTATGATGCTAGAAGCTGTGCCACCAGTATTTCAAATACCAGCAGAGTGACCCATGGTGGACAGATTTCAGCAGAGCCTCTAGACTAAGATGGACTAGGAATAAAGGCCTGGCAATCTACTTCTGAAAATTAGCCAATGAAAACCTAATGGATCACAGAATATTACCTAATATAGTGCTGGAAGATAAGTCCCCAGGTTGGAATGCACTACACAATAGCCACAACAATGGACTCAAACATACCAACAATCAGGAAGATGGCACAGGACAACGTTTTGTTCTGTTGTACATAAGGTCGCCATGAGTCAGAGCTGACTCAGTGACAACTAACAACAACAACTAGAAGCCATAAATAAGCTTTTGGATTACACTTGAAGTACAATGGGAATCCATTAGAGGGTTTCAGTCAGGGAAATGACATGATCCAATTTTCATTTTAAGAAGAACTCTCCAGTTGCTGTGCAGAGAAAAAATTTGATCAGGGACCAATAATGAGTATGGAAAACAGGAAGCTGTCGAGGGGTTCAGATCAGGGCAACCTGAACTAGGGCAGTGGCAGTGGAATGGAGAGATGTCAGTGGATCTGGGATGTGTTTGGGGCTAATACTGATATGACTTGCTGATGGTATGGATGTTGGACATGGTGATATGGAAGACAAAAGAAGTAATGTGATGTCTAGGTTTCTGGTTTGAACATTTTTGGTGGGTGCTAATTATTGACATCATAAAGAACATGAAAACCCATTGCCATTGAGTCGATTAGGGGAACAAGTTGTGGTTGGCAATCAAGAGTTCAATTTGTATGTATTAAATTGCAGATGTCTGTGTAACACATAAGAGAAAATATTGAATAGGCCCTGGATACACAGTCTAAATTTCAGAGATGACGGAGTTGAAAATGTAAATTTTAGATTCATCTGCTTATAGATACTATTTAAAGCCAAGAGAATGGAGAGATCATCTGGCGAAACAGAATAAGGAGTTAGGAGAGGTAAACCCACAGATTCCAATATTAAGAGATCAGGTAGAAGAAAGGTCTGAGAAAGTGGTTTAAAAGGAAATACCCAAGAGTGAGGTCAACGAGGCCAATGAGAATGAGGATTTCAAGGAGGAGGGAGTGAACACTATCCAAAATGCCACCAAAAGTTGAGTAAGATGGGAAGAAAAAAGGACTCTTCTCTCAAGTTCTTGGTGACTTTGACTATAGATATTATAGTGGAGTGGTGAAATGGCAATTCTTCATGACTGAAATGTTTAGTCAAATAACCAAACATTCTTGAAACACTTTGGATAAATGAAGATTATTGTACCAATGACATCGAAGCTAAAGGATATCATCCTGTAAATGACTCAAGGAAATTGCTGGGACACTTCAAGGTTGAGTTCATATGCATATGGTTTTATAGATTCCTGGTTCTTTATTGCTTCAACAGGAGCGAAAGGTTCAAGAACATACATTTCTATGAAGCTTTGACACTTTTTTTTTCATTGTTCAAATATCAACCTCAGACTGAGGAGATAAATATAACTGTAAATTTTTTCTAATTATTGTTTACTAATATCTAGAGCAAACAATTATAGTAGCAGGTACTTTTCTTTAGACACTAATTATGTTTAAGACTCTGTAGTATACTCTTTCCATGAATTAATTTATTCCTAGTATTATTCTCAGTTTGCAGAAGAATAAATTGAGACTTAGAGAAGTTATATAACTTGTTCAAAAGTGGCAGAGAACATATATGAAGTCATGCTTTTAATCAGTATATAATACTACTAATTTATTGACTAACAGAAATTATTTTGGTTAAAAATACAAACATCATCAAGGATCTTTCTGGAAATTAGATAAATATTTGTGAATTCATTTTATTTGAAATAGAATTAATTCTTTAACATTTACCATTACCAACTAACTTGAAATAATAGGATAAGATTGCAAAGTCATATGAGGATTGGGACTATATCTAGATGAAAGAGTTCGAAAGAAATTAAGGCATAAAGCCAGCTGGTTGATATTTAGAACTGCACATACAGTTTTAATATTGCAATTGCTGCTTCCAGCTATTCATCCAGAAATATCTAAAATCTTGGATTAATTTTAAATGCTGATCTGGGGGTATTTGGCACACTCAGAATATCAAAAAAGATGGTGGCTTTAGCTTTTTTGTAAAGAGTGTCTATTGACAAAATTTAGACATTGATATGACAAATTCTTTTACATTTGACTCAATTAAACTTTGATTGATGGCAAAATAATATTTATTTGCATATTTAGAACTCTTAGAATAGCTATTCTATTCATACTGCAGTTGTCAAATACACTGAGGGAGTTATCTTTTTACTTGCAGTTCATTTCCATGTTATTTCACTTTAAAAATTAATTTAAATGATTTTTAAGTTTTGTATTACAGAGATTATATTTACTATATAATTTATTATGATACCTGAAGAGTAGAAGTTGGTATGTAAAAAACAAACAGTTCTGGGAGATAACACAGTAATGATAAATATGATGCCAATGGCAGGCTCATGTGAGGTAGGCATTGCATGTATCCATTTTTCTCTTTACATAGAAGGAAAGTTTACTTTTCACATGTACAGTATAATCACCCTAATAGCAGTAATTATCCAATCCAGTAACAACATGGTGAAGTTTGCAGAAAACATAATGACATCATTTAACCCAAAATATCTAAAATTAATATTCAGAGGAGAAAACAGAATTATAAATAATAAAGTTATACTTAAAATATGTAAACCATTGTAAGTGATATAGCTTTAAAAAGGCATTTAAAAGAAGAGAATATAAGAGAAGCCCTCGTGGCACAGTGGTTAAGAGCTTGGCTGCTAGCTAAAAGGTTAGCAGTTTGAATCCACCAGCCTCTCTTTGGAAACCCTGTGGAGCAGTTCTACTCTGTCCTATAGGGTAGCTGTTTGTCAGAATCGACTTGATGACAATGGGTTTTTTTTTTTGTATGGACAGTAAAAATTAACTAGGAACTAATCTGAAATATGTTTTCAGAGATCTTTAATACAGATTAAGGAATATCTTGATACGTTATATAAAATTACATATATAATCATATATCCAATTATATAGTTATATACCACCGCCCACTGCCGTCGAGTAGATTCCGAATCATAACGACCTTATAGGACAGAGTAGAACTGCCCCATAGAGTTTCCAAGGCTGTAAATCTTGTAGGGAAACGAGCTGCCACATCTTTCTCCTGCGGCGGCTGGTAGGTTCAACCGCTGACCTTTTGGTTGGCAGCTGAGTGCTTTAACCACTGCGCCACCAGGGCTCCTTATGTAATTGTATATGATGTAAAAATCTATTGCTTTCTTTTTGGTGATGAGGGTTTTCTGAAGATAGCAATGAAGGGAACTATATATAATAAACCTCTATGATCATTTTTTTCTGTTGCAGGTCTGTGACCACCTGTTCACATGGTTTCGAGGCACAATGAGGCACACCAGCTCTTGGAAACTTTGGCTCTGGGTGGCAGTCCTCCTGCTTCCTGCTTCCGTTTCCATGACGGTCAAGGACAAGCCAGGTATCCAAGCTATGTCTTTGTCAATCAGCAAATGTCATTTATAATATTTAAATCATTAAAAAAATCATTAAAACAAATCTTGTTAAAGTTGAAGTGTTCATAGATGAAATCTACAAGAGCAGAAGAAATAATTCATTGTTTTCCCCTACTTGACCTTCACATGATAGCATCTAGAATTTCTAAAATTATCTCATTTTTTCATATGCTTATTATATCAGTCTAAATACCCTTTTATTTCCCTCTTCGATTACTAGTATAAATGTATATGTGTGTATATATGTGTATATATATGACACTGTATATTTTCCCTTTCCTCTTTAAGAATTACTTATTCAGGTTATAAGTACAGAAATACATCACTAGTTAGGATTAATGAGGGACACATCTAATGTTAATTAAGGAAGAGTGAAAAGCAGAATTGGAGGTATAAAAGGAAATGTAGTTTAATTATGTATCAGTTTTTGAGTATCTCAGATGAGGCCAATGGAAGGTTGACAGATCTTTAGAGGACACCTTCATATAAACAGAAAACATTTATTTGCAATTGTTAAATTTATCAATCTCGTAAATATTTCCAAATGTTTTGGAGGCAATTTGAAACATTTTCACCTTTGATTTTTAAAAAATGATTACATAATTAATTTGGAGAACTTTTCTTGACCTTTGAGCATGTGTAAGTTTTTGACCTATATGTACTTCACAATACAAAGTTGAACTAGACACATTAAAGAAGGCATTTGCTAAACAAAAAGAAACTTCAACTGTCCTATGTAAAGGATCACAAATTATGACTTGATGGAGGCTGATACTTTGAGTCCTATTGTGCTTATTCTTGTGAATAATTCTTTAATAATTTTTGTTGAGCAGGTAGAAACTCATTGTAGGAGAGATTTCTGAGTTTGAGATACACATAAAAACAACTTCATAAAGATTATAACAAATCTTAGTCTCTTGTAGTATTATGTAACTCTTTATGATATTTTACTAATTTGTCAGGACTTGCATTTCTTACAATAATCCACATGAAATTTTGGATACTCTTTCATTGTATAAATAACATCCTGTGGCTTCATACTTTTTGGGGGGAAACACTTCCTTTCTTCAGTGATAAATCAGTAGTAACACATGGTAACGGAGAGCCGTGGTAGCACAATGTTTAAAGTGCTCAGCTGCTAACTGAAAGGTCAGCAGTACCAACCTACCAGCTGCTGTGTGGGAGAAAGATGTGGAGGTCTGCTTCTGTAAAGATTAACAGCCTTGGAAACCCTATGGGGAAGTTCTACTCTGTCCTATAGGGTCGCTATGAGTTGGAATCCACTTGATGGAAGTGGGTTTGTTTTTTTTTTTTTGTTTTTTAACTCATGGTAAAAAGGAGTACATGGGGGATTATTCTGATGTTGTTACTGTTTTGAATTTCTTTGTCTCTTCTTTTTAAAAGACAGAGTAGGTAACATGTTGCAATTTAATCAGAGAGGAGAGGACTCTTTTCATTAGAAAGGAGAAGGAACCTTTGGTTGAGTAAGACACAGTTTTTAGGCAGGTTCTAGTGTACAATGGAAAACCCTGATGGCATAGTGGTTAAGAGCTCAGGCTGCTAACCAAAAGGTCAGCAGTTCAAATCCACCAGGTACTCCTTGGAAATCCTATGGGGCAGTACTACCCTGTCCTTTAGGGTCACTATGAGTCAGAATTGACTCAATAGCAATGGGTTCTTTTTTTTTTGGAGTGCGTAATGAATGTTCTTAATGATGAAGATGATTTGAAGGATCTACAGAAATGGTTCTCCAATTTTAGTTGAATAAAGATCACTTGGGATACTTGATGCCTGGGTCCGGCTCTCAGAGCTTCCATTATGTAACATCAGCCTGGGGTACTATTCAGTAATTTACATCTTTGACAAGCTCCCCAGGTGAATCTAATGCAGGATGTCTGAGGAAAACACTTTGAGAAATACTTGTCTTTGGGATAATTAACTGATATTTCTTTTCCTTTTTATTTTTTTCTCAGCTGGTTATGCCAAGTTCCTTTTATTTTGTTATATTTTATTTTATTCTTTGTCTTTAATTAGCACTTTCCCATCTTGGAATTTCCCTGAATGTTTTGCCTTTGTATCTATGGTATCTCAGTTATTTAAAACAGAGGTGTAACTAAGGTATGGCACTTAGGGCATGTGCCCCGGGTACTACCTGAGGAGGGGCGCTAATGAGCAGTTTCCATTGGCCATCGCAGTTTCCACTGGTAGCTGTGAATGATCATTCAGCAATTTAAAACTAATTGCCATAGGCGCTATTTTCCACAGATAGGCCCCTGTGAATGTTGCTCTTGTTAGGTGACATCCAGTCAGTTCTGACTTATAGCGACTCTGGGAACTACAGAACGAAACATTGTCCAGTCCTGCGCCATCCTCACAGTCGTTATTATGCTTGTGCCCACTGTTGCAGCCACTGCGTCAATTCATGTCACTGAGTGTCTTCCTCTTTTTCGTTGACCCTCTACGAAGCATGATGTCCTTCTGCAGGGACTTATCCCTCCTGATAACATGTCCAAAGTATGTAAGACGTAGCCTCGCCATCCTTGCTTCCAAGGAGCACTCTGGTTGTACTTCCTCCAAGACAGATTTGTTCATTCTTTTGGCAGTTCATGATGTATTCAATATTCTTCGCCAACACCAAAATCAAAGGCGTCAATTCTTCGGTCTTCTTTACTCATTGTCTAGCTTTCGCATGCATATGAGGCAATTGAAAATACCATGGCTTGGGTCAGGTGCACCTTACAATTCAGGGGACATCTTTGCTTTTAAACACTTTAAAGAGGTCTTTTTGCAGCCGATTTGCCCAATGCAATGCATCTTTTGATTTCTTGACTGCTGCTTCCTTGGGTGTTGATTGTCGATCCAAGTAAAATGAAATCTTTGACAACTTCATTCTTTTCTCCATTTATCATGACGTTGCTTATTGGTCCAGTTGTGAGAATTTTTGTTTTCTTTATGTTAAGCTGTAATCCATATGGAAGGCTGTGGTATTTGATCTTCATCAGTAAGTGCTTCAAGTCCTCTTCACTTTCAGCAAGCGAGGTTGTGTCATCTACAAATAGCATGTTGTTAATGAGTCTTCCTCCAATCTTGATGCCCTGTTCTTCTTCACAGAGTTCAGGTTCTTGGATTATTTGCTCAGCATACAGATTGAATAGGTATGTGAAAGGATACAACCCTGACGCACACCTTTCCTGACTTTAAACCACGCAGTATCCCCTTGTTCTGTTCGAACAACTGCCTCTTGATCTGTGTACAGGTTCCTCATGAGCACAATTAAGTGTTCTGGAATTCCCATTCTTCGAAATGTCCTGTGTATGTAGGACTACCAAAATGCATGTATTTGGGTTCAAAGTACTTTGCCTAATTAATCTTTCTGGAAGATTTTCCTAAGAGAACAAATTCAAAACTAATCTGAATTCTAACAAGATTCACATAACATGAAGCATTAAGGAGAACTAATGGAGAAAAAAATTGAGTTGATTTTCATCATGCCATTTGGTAGAAGATGCTCGTAAAGGGACCCATACTAAACGTGCCAATGAAATTGCTTAACTTCAAGTATTGTTTGCATTAATTGAAAATGTTGGCACAGCACTGTCATAGGGATTATTGAAGAATATGACATGCCAGGCATGGCCTGGCAGGGGGCTCTTCTTGTGTGTTTGTATCTGATTCACAAGGCAAGGTTCCTTTTTTAGTTTCCTCATGTGCAGACCTGTGCGTGTGGTCACTAACCATTTTCCGGAGGGAAGTGATTACATCTAAAAATAAAATATAACAAATCTGAGGGAGAGGCTAGGGTTTCAGCTCTGGAGTCTGTGAAGTTGTCAACAGTCTACTGTTAAACCTAAATATATGAAGGATAAATTGAGTCTTTTAATTGCTTTACTCTAACTCTATGGTTGTATTTAACGATTACTTGAAATATTGTCGCATTTGGGACAGAATTCAAGAGTAACATGGATAGATACAGTAACAACTCGAATTTTAAAATCTTGAAGGTATTAAGAATTCAGTCATTTCATATTCTTTCATCAGTTTTTCTATTATGTGGAAATTATGGGATAAAGCGTATGTGCATATTTTCATACTGCAGATGAATGTCAGTTTGAAAGTTATAGTTTCAGCTCAGTTAGTTGTCAAAAGAAGATGGGGGAAGAGAATTGTATTAAAAAAAATACAATGCATAGGTAATCTCTATCTGCTTTAATCAGTTACTTAAAACTGTTTCCTGTCTCACAGAAGCTTATGTATTAAGTAATTAAAGTTGCCTCGTCTTTCCTTAATCTGTTCTAAGTAATAAATGTACTAAATTATCATCAAAAGTAATAAAAACCTGATAACCAGAGTAAGGAAAATGAGCAGGAAAACAAGACTAGATAAAGAGATAATTAGATGCCACTTAAATAATATTTTTCTTCCAGTTATAGTAAAATTTCAGGTTGTGTCTAGATTAAATTGATTATTTACTTGGGCCCAAAACTATACACACATTGTTTTAAACTAGTTCTGTTCATTTACAAAGAAAAACTATTCTGAAATTTGGCTTATACTAGTTGACAAAATTGCACTCTTAAACTTAGAGTAGAAAGCATGCTGGCATATCTATTGTTGATATAAAAACCAAACCAAACCCATTGCTGTCAAGTTGAATTTTGACTCACAGTGACCCTATAGGATAGCGTAGAACTGCCATAGGGTTTCCAGGGCTGTAAATCTTTACAGAAGCAGACTGCCACATCACTCTCCCATGGAGCAGCTGGTAGGTTCGAACTGCCGACTCAGTCAGAAGCTGAGTGCTGTAACCACTGCACCACTAGGGCTCCTCATTGTTGGTATAGAGAATTTTATTGTGTGTTTTTAAGAATTCCTCCTCAATCTGGTGCCATGTTAAGAATCCCACTATTGACAACTGTACTTTGTAACTCCTACATTTTGAAAGTGGAGGAAAGCTTCACAACTATAA